GTGCGAATCGTCCAGCTGAAACGGATGGAGCTGGTGAGCAGGCTGGCAGGAGGGGAACCAAGCCAAGACCACGGGAAGCCGCTTGTTGATTAAATAATTTGTGAGTCATGGCTCAGCCCCTGGAGACAGAGTTTCCACGACTACTGCACACGCCTGTCAGGGGAGACGGAGGGAACAAAGCCACAGCAAGAGCCACCTCTGTGCTCTAATTGAGAAGAGAAACAAATTTCCCATGGAAATACAGAACTGAACAGCCCTGTCTGGATGGGGCTGCCCCACACTGTGGATGCCCACCCTGCTAGGGTGAGCACAGCTGCTGCTTCGCCACGGCACCTGGGCGAAGCTGGGACGAGAGCCGCAGACTCCACTCCAATCTGCCACTATGGGAACCTGGGGGCTCTCAGAGCTAATGTGGAGCCAGTGCCTCCCACCAGTCCTCCTGCCACTCACCTGTGGGGCTCCTGCTCATGATGACAGGGGTGGCCGTGGCTCCCGTGCTGGGGCTCTCGCTGCCGGGCGAAGCACTGTAGACAAACACGTCCTGCTTGAACGGTGACGCGGTGGAGGGTTGACTTCCCTGCTCAGAGAGATAGAACACAGGTTTTTGTGCTGCCAGCTCTTCCCCCCAGCCCTGCTGATGCCCCACTGCAGCCCTGCCCATTGGAGCTGCTCCCGTTGGAAGAGTCCTGATGGAGCAACCTCCTGGCCTGGGCACACCGCCCCAGGGCACCCCAAGGCTCAGTGGGGTGTCACAGAATCACAGAATAGCCTGGGTTGGAAAGGATCTCAAACACCATCTAGTCACACCCTGCCTTGCCACAGCACAGGCAGGGACCCCTCCCCTCGGCCAGACTGCTCCAAGCCCCGTCCAACCTGGCCTTGAACACTTGCACAGATGGAGCACCGACAACACCCTAATGTACCACCATACCTCCTCCTCCCTGAACCCAGAGATGGGATTAGCCCCTCCATGTCAGTGGTGAGGAGGCACTTGGGGCCCAGTGGACACTTCCCCCTCACAGAGACGACCTGGGGGTCCGGAGGCAGCAGGGAGCCAAGGGATGCTGTGTGCTCTGGGGTGGGTTTGGTGCCTACCACGCTGTCGTACTCCTCCAGGGTCTCGCTCTCGCCCGCCGTGCTGCTGAAGCTGCTGGTGCTGGAGGAGGAACGGGAGATGTTCGACCGCCCGTTCTCTTTCAGCTTGATAAATGGCCTAGGGAGAGGCGGAACGGAAGGAAGGGCGCGTGGCTGTCACTTGGGAAGCACGTCCCTTGGGCTGTGACAGCGGGACAGACCCTCCTGTGCACCCTCGGAGCACAGTGCTGCTGTAGGGAAGAACCTTTGGGGCACTTCTGCGCGTAACCCCTTCCAAAGGCGTGGGGTGAGGCAGGGGGTGGGTGTCCCAGCAGGAGCTGCTGGGTCCAGCTGACTCTGCCTTGGCAGGGAAGGACAGGCACCATGGCCTCCCTGGCTCCTATGCCCAGAGGGTTTGAGCAACCTCTCTCAAGTACTGCTCTTTGCTCTTCTTTGTAAAGATCATAAAGGAGCTGTGCTCATGGATCACCAGACTCTTTCCTCCCTTAACATCAAACTTGGAGATGGTTTTGTTTGGCAAAATCCCTGATGTCTGTTGAGCCGCGGTGGGAGGAGGATGGGCGTCTCCTGGCTCACCTGTCTTTGTTGGGGCATATTTCAGGGGAGCTGGGGTTGGACGACGTTTCAGACTTCATCTCTTGGGAAGAATGTCCCAAATCTGGTGTCTTCTGGGCTCCAGAAACGCTGTCACTGGGGGCACAAAGAGACAGATTGCACGAGTTACACAAGAGACTTGAAAAGGATGGCCAAATTATACTCCCTAACACCAAATAAACTGTGAGTAACAGATATTCAGTGGGTACCACCACTTAAGTTTAAAACAGAGGGAAGGGATCCAAGCCACAATTCCTCAAACGTGGCAGAAGCAGCTCTTGTTGCCGGTTGTGTGGAAAGGCAAGGCTGCACCCTGGGAAAGGTTTTTAGCACCCAGCAGAGTTTTTTCGGACTTTTAAGATGCATTAGGCACTTAGTGACAGGGTTATGACAAACTCACCACCTCGTCCTGCTCTCTGCCTGGCTCTCCGACGTCGTGTGCAGGCGAGGGAACAGTCCCGACCGGCGCTTGATGGGGCTCCTGGACTGGTTCTTGGCTGCAGCAGCTGGTACAGGAGGCTGAAAGCAGAGAACAGTCTGGGTTGAAGAGCACAGCTCCCTCCTGGGAGCTCAGAAACTGTGAGGAACTGCACTGCCCATGATTCCCAGCCTGTGCATCCAGAAAACATAAAATGCCAGAACTTCTTTTCTATCTCCTTTGTACTTCGGAGCTGAAAACCCCAAGAAGCTCATCTTCAGTTCTTCCACAATAAGCCCAACTTGAAAAATGCACCCGGAACCAAGCTCTGTTCAAGTCTTCCCCTCGCCCTTCCCCTCACTGCCCACGCAGGGGATTGCCAGGCTGTGTCAGCACAGCAGTGCCTTGCTGGGCTGCACAGGGGCAGACAGAGGGAGGGAGAGCAGGATGGAGGGACACATGGCCATGCTCACCGAGAAGGTGGTCTTGGTCACCTCGCCACTGTTGTGCGCGATGCCCCCACTGAGGCTGCCTGGGATGCCACCGCCGTGGTGCTTCTTCTGGCTGCCCACCATGGTCTCCATGGAGTGGCTGCGCACCCGGATGGCTCTCTGCAGCAGAGGGGACAGGGCACAGCAGGTCATCACCACTCTGCAGGTGCTGGCCCCAGACACCCTCCCCAGCTCCAGGGCTCCCCCAGGCACACAGGACAGAACCTGCTTGGGCCTCCCCAAGTGCCAGCACACACCAACAACAACCCGACCAGTGACAGCAGCAGCCTGGGCAGGTGCAGTTGAGCGCAGCCACCCTCGACGAGCCCCACAACCACCACCAGATCAGACTTTCTCCCTCTGCTCCGCAATGCCGAGGACTGCAGCTATGGGACCAGCAACAGCAGATACCACCCCC